TTAATTTTCGTGTATTTATAGATACCTTTAGAACATAGACATATCTCCAAATGAAGGACTAGTGATGGTAACTTTTATGTTCGAATTGCATCAAGTAAAGTTAAGCAGATTTCTTGCAAGGGTATAGTCCACATTTCGGTTACTAGGGTATTTTTCCTGTGTCTGGCAACGCAGTTGCATATAAGCTTAGAGAAATAAATAACTTTTACATCGGTCATATTAGATAGCTCTAAGACATTGTGATATCTTTTTATTCCCTAAACACACGAAAGCAATCAAAGGAAGATTGTACAATGTCAGATATGTCATGAGAAATGATATTTGTCAGTGCCTTCGGGGCATCCCTAAAGATGAGTATGCTAAGGTTTTCTGTGCATGGATACAAAGACATAATACATGTGTAAACGATATCAGGGAATTCCTTGAAGGATTGACGCTATCAAAAGTATTTATTATGTGCTTTTTTATATTTTTCGATCACATGTTGCATCATTTATTGAACGACCTTCGTAAATTTACGATCTATAAGACCGTATTTGACTGAAAATCAGAATAAATTTAAGGAACGCCTTCTTAGTTCTCTAATATATATTTTTGATGACAAAAAAGTTTTCTTCTAATTAGGATTCTATTAATCATCACTTGCAACGGAGTTCTGCAAAGCAAAACGAAAGTGGGTAATATGTTTCGGGGTTGATAGCAAATGCTCCTTTTTTATAATCGCAGCAGCGACCGATCTATAAAGTGCACATGGGTAATGAAACCATTTTTTTTAGTTCAGTAAAATAACTGTTAAATAAAATAATGTACGCATAAAGCATGACTAAAACATTTTAAAATCTTGTTTTAAACTTAGAGTTAATTGTTGTTATTATGTTTCAATTTCATTATCATTATCCATCAGATAATTGATAACTTATGTTTTATAATAAGAGTTTATAATTCGTCGTCAATCCATTATATAAATAATGAACTAACAATTAGTATGAAAAACATCAGTCAGCATTTGACTCCACTATTTACCTGGGTTTAGAAATTGTTCATACGATGATACCTAGAGCATGCTCTTGCGTATCGACTGGAATCAACTGAGATATATAAACTTCGTATGCAGGTGAAGGTACATGCATATTAATTGCTGCATTTAAGTAAGGGGCATTGACGATTATAAAGTTTAAGTCATCACGTTTAACATAGAGCTTGTTTGTAAGATTACCATTATCGCCTTTTTCAAGTAAAATACTCAGTAACCAGATTTTCAACCACAATCAACCTTTAATACACTAATTCTCTGCAGTTTGTCTTTTTTGTCCTCAAAACATATAAAGAATCACAGAGAATGATTGTAAGGACTGTTTGTGAGTTTATGTCTACGAAGACAAAGATTCGGGTTTAAGTTTCAATTTTTATTTTTATCATTTGTAATCCATATTCTTAAAGTTTGAATCCCTCTTTAATATATTTTTTCATTTCTTAATACCACAATAATATGATTTATTTAATTCTAAATTTAGATCCAGTCAATCCTGGTGCAGAAAATGTACATACAGTTGTTGCTATTGCAATGGCAGTATTTCTTAGCGTCGGATCCCTCTTAGTCGTAATAGTTATTTTATACAATAAAAGGCAAGTATGTTGTGACATTTTAAGTAAGCAGGTACACAGTCCTTAAGTTTCGAAAATTTGTACTTGTTAGCTCACCTTAGCAAAAAGCTTTCGTGATCAAACGTTGTCCTTCGTCTGTTCATACGTTTGTAAATTTTTCACATTTTCAACCTCTTAAGAATAATGGGACCAGTTGGAACCAAAGCGTCCTTGGGTAGAGAATGGTTTTAAAATAAAGGACGAAGCCGATTTACAATTGGAGATAATCAAGAAAAGACAAAAAAAGTGGGATTATTTAAAAAAAAAATCCTCTCAAGAACCGCTCGGTTAGAAAAGCTGAAACTTATGTGGAAGCTCATTTAGCAGTGTTGGTTTAAATTGTTCAAATCATGATCCTGGGGGATATGGTTGGCTTCAATAGGGAATCCAACTTTTACATTGAAATATATTTTACATTAAAAAAAATCTTGTAAAATTTTTTTCTCAATAACCCCAGGGTCAGAAAAGCTTATTTGGAAGCATTTGGGGGGGACAGTAGATTCTAAATTGATCAAATCATGACTCCTAGGGGTAGGTTGGGGCCAAAATAGGTATAAGAAGGAGAAAATTCTGGTAAATAACAGCAGAAACAAAGCTACTCAGGTGAACGTTGTTAGAATAGTACTGTTCATTGTAAGGAGGGATACTGCTCTGGTTTTTGACGAGTAGAAATATTCAAGGTATGACTTAGATACATGTATTTAGATGTGGGATATTTAAAAGACCGTATTTTTCTTTCCTCATCACAAATGTACAACAATTATCATTTGACAATGAATCTACTTGTTATTTTTACGCTATCAAAAATTTTAAAATATTTTCAAATGTAAGTTAACTTCAGGATGAAGCACCAATATTTAAAATACATCAAATAAATATGATTTTCCAAACAAACTAGAAATATGTTAGCTTTTAAAAGCTCTCGATCTAAGAGCAGATATTTGCCAAAAATTCGTAAAAAGCGTACTGATCTTGACACATTTAACTTTACAGATTAAAATTTCTTCAACAGTATTTAAAAAGTAAGTAGATGTATTCGCAAAAATTATTTTTATTTTTAAGCATAATTTTTTTTTGTAAGTATATATAAGATATCTATGTAATTTTTAAAGATTTTAGTTTGATTTGTTTATTCAATTCTTTTAAGGTTTTTTAAATTACATATTTTTAAAACATAAGCCCGGACAAATTTTTTTTATTATGACATGGCAAAAAAAAATCAAAATAAAAACATGATGTTTTATTAAGGATTTAGAACAAATCAAATTGAAAACGACAATAATGCAAGCCCTGAAACAGAGGAGGATCAAGAAGACTACTCTCAGATGACAAGGGCCTCTAACAACTACAACTTGCTGAGCTTCAACAGATTTAATGTTGTCTCCAGAGTCAATGTCACAGAGGAAGAAGAAATATACGATCAAGGTGGCGCTGTTACCCCTAGCCAGACGGAAGACGTTCAGGATAGTTACGTGTCGTTAGCTCTCAGACAAAACCATGTGACTCCTTCGTCCAATGGTATCAAGGAAGTTATTTGCGATGTAGAGGAAGAGGTTGTATCTGATAAGACGTATGCCTCTCGAGATAGCTATATTACACTTGCACTTAATCCAAGCACTTCTCCAAAAACTGCAGGAAACACTAAAGGAAATACCAGAAAGGGTTCAAAACAAAAGACACGGGCAGGATGTACAAATAAAAACGATCAGGATATCTATGCAAATACTCTGCCAAGATTTCCTTTAAACTATTACGTACTTGAAAATGACAAAATTGGTTCAAAGGGAAAAAAAGAAATATGAATGATACATTATGAGAAAGTAATCCTGAGTAAAACTCATACAGAGAGGAAGTGGATGGGGGGGGGGCGAATTTAAAAAAATACAATATTATAATGTTTTAACAAAACTGTGACTGGGCGAATGTAAGACAGGGCAAAATTGTTTGCAAGTGTGAAATGGCGAAAATTATCACGTTTACAATGTATAATCAATTTCATTAATGTTTCAATATAATACATGTACTTATTCTAGATGGTATTCTTTTTGTGTGTTTTAAGCAGGCTAGTCATATGAATTTATTATTTCTTATTAAATTATTTTATTATAAATTATTAATTATTAAATTTACACATATACACTGTACATGTAAAGATATACTGTTAACAGGTTAATTGGAAGTGTTTCCTATAAAAAGCTTATTGTTTTAATTTGGTTTTAGTTTTATTATTTTTTTTTTTGCCCGTATATATAACTTTCAAAAGTAAAAAAAAAGTTACAAGAAAGAGTAACTTCAATATCAGTAGTCATGTTGAAAGTCACCATTGCGTAAGTTATATTGTCGATCGATTTTATTGATTTTAAGTTGTATAATCGATATCGGAACATTAAAATTTTTAATAAATGACAATGTTAAAATAAATATATCTCGATCAATTATAAAGTTTGTCTCTAATTATTACATTTCATGATTTGTGTTTTAATTCATGTATATATTTACAATATATTTAATGGAAGATCCAAAGTGTTTTGTGCAGTTAAAGAAGTTTGACCTTCAGTGATTAATAAAATAAAAAGATATCGCCAAGAGACATAATTATAAATAGATGATGCTATTTTTAGCATTATTTTATATAAGATAAATAAATTGATTTCATAGCTACAGTATATATGTTTTCTTGATTAAAGAAACAACAGTGTATTCTTTGTAATTATGCATCATTGGTTAAATCAGTTTCCTATGATAAATAAGGCTTGTATGTTATATTGAAAATAAAATGAGTTAAACTCAGTTTAAGGAACTTCATTTAATATATTTCATCTTTTTTAAAATCCCATATACATATTTTGATAGTGCTTAAAGTGCTTCTATAAATATTTTTAACCAAATGTATAGATTAATTAACTTATATATGTTAATATTAAGTACAAATCCCGATGATCTCTGATTGATCTTCAGTACAATGTAGTGTCAAAATTATCATCACTTTAAGAAATAAGTTTTTCTGGTTATCATTATAGTATCATAGTGAATTTATGAGATTGGTCACCGTCTATTTATATTTTACGTTTGTACATCACATCCTACTGACAGTAAAAAAATCCATAGTAATTTTTTTTTTTTAAAATGTTTCTATTTTTCCTTTGTTTTCTTCTCCATTCCCTTAAATACCTTTATATACATTTATACTCGATTTTACCTGTTGTATATAAAGAATAGATACTGTAGTAAAAGATACCTTATACATGTATGAGACACATGATATCCATTTCATGTCAAATAAGTGGTAAACTAAGCTTATCAGACACAAATACGAACTTCTTCATGCGTGTCTTCAATCTGGGTTAATATTTCACTGCAGAAGTAAACAGGGGCTGTAGCCATCTATTTGATTAAAAAGGGTAATTTTACTGCTTGCAATATGTCTAAAGAAGAAGTCTTGCAGAGAGGAAACTGGAAATCCTGGTGGGAGTTTTTATTTTCTTCTGTCGGTTGTTTAGTTGGACTTGGTAACATATGGAGATTTCCTTATATTTGTTTCAAGAACGGAGGAGGTTTGTTAAAAATTAAGAAAACAGACTAACAGTAACAATTTCAGCATTTGTCCTAATTAACTAGCTAACCAATTCTGTAAAGAACACGTGCAACTAATAATCAATCGGTATTTTTGAGGTTGAATTGAATTTTTAAAAAAGTTAACAGTTGTCCATCTAGCAATTTCTTTATGTGTCGAATGAACATGAAAATTCATGAATTCAAAGTAGAACTTCTGGCATAAATGTAAATATAGTCCCCCACCCTCAGAATCTGCAAAATCTCGGTCATAATGATATTGTAGAAACAAACAAATTATACATAAGTCGATATACTTTTACATATCCTGTGTGTTCTTAGGTATGGCATTTCAAACTTCAATTTTTGCTTTAATAGTTTTTAAATTTGGGTTTTCATGTTTTGAAGTCAGCATTTACAACTCAAATTTTAAGAAGATATTCTAACTTTTAAGTTTTTAATTTCAAGTTAACAATTTCAGGTGGCTTAAAAATAAAAGACTAGATTTATCTGCTGTAAAGTTGAAGAAACCAAGATCAGAGTTTAAAAAACGGGGGAAAAAAACAGAAACAAGATGTGTTTGTGAAACACTATGCGCCCGGTGGCAACAAAGTTAAAAAAAAATATTTTTAGCATATAAGGTCACAGTCAAGGTCACATGGTCAATGGTGTCATTCGAAAGAGCTTAATTGGTATTGTATGTATAACAAATACGAGGTCTCTATCTTTCATGGTCCAAAAGTTATGGCCAAATTTTGAAAAAGATATTTTTAGCATATAGGCACAGTCAATGTCAAGGTCAATGATTTTAGTGTCAATTGAAAGAGCGTCATTAGTGGAGTAAGCATACCAAATATGAAGTCTTTATCTTTCATGGTTCAATAGTTATTGCAAAAGTTTGAAAAAGCTATTTTTAGCAAATAGGTCACAGTCAAGGTCATAAGGTCATTGACCTTGATGTCATTTGAAAGAACCTTTCTAGTGGAGTATGCATATCTAATATGAAGTCTCTATCTCTCATGGTTCAAAAGTTATGGGGAAGGTTAAAGTTGTCAAATAAACAAACAGATAAACAGACAGACAGGACGAAAACAATTTACGCCTCGTATCTATCGATTTGGGCGCATAAACACAAGACGTAAGTTGGAATTACTTACCTTTACGTTTGAATATAACGTGTAAATAATATGCTTGAGAACTAATGAATTATTGCTTACGAATTTTTTATGTGTAAACGTATAGAGAAGACGTAAGAATACATCAAATGTTATTTTAGGACAGCATTGTTGATCCTACATATTAAGCGATGAAAAAATTGTCATCACGACAACAGATACCTTTTTGACACTCTAGAAAGTCAGGTATTATATCACCTTTACAGAGGGTTGTCGCCAAACTGAAATTTACGCTCTTGTAATTTTGTTCGTATTGCAGTCTGATTCAAAGTATTTTGGCACTCCTAGCTTTTTTTTTATTAATATATCTTCTAGAAAGGTCTTAACTTTAATTCTTGAAAAATATTAACAATTCAGATTTAAGCCTCTTTATTACCGGTACAAGACATGTCCTTTATTGATAACTTCAGAAAGTTACAGACCAAAACTAACATTTCAAATTATGATAATAAAGATAGGAAAAAAGTTTTCATTAATTCTAAGACATCAAGTGAGACTAGTTCTAGATTTGAGTATTCTTCCCAAACCTTTTGATTCATAGAGCTAGGCCTCAGACTATGCACTTGTCCTTAAGCTTTTGCATTAACAAAATTCTGTAAAGGATATATTTTCGTATGGGTTTTATATGGCGCCTTTTGTTGCAAGCGTACATTTAACACCAAAAAATCACTGCTAAAGTATCTAGGTTTTCTTCACCTGAAAATATAAACTTTTTTAAATTCTAGGAGCTTTCCTGATTCCATACTTCATATTCATGTTCCTGTGTGCAATGCCAATGATGTTCTTGGAGATGACTTTTTCACAATATTCTAATCTGGGACCTGGAAGGGTATGGATTTGTTGTCCGCTATTGAAAGGTACAAAACAGAGAATTCGAATATAGGATAACTGCACGTAAAAATACATGTATATTTGTTAGTTTTAATTTTGAAACATTGAAATATTGTTGAGACTTGTGTAAGTATACTGAGTATAAGCTCTATGATATTTTACTCAAATAATCAATATCAGTCTCAAATTTGTTTATAAACTTTATTTTTTGCTGTAACAATTTGATAGTCAGCAAATGACAAATTAAAAACATGTTTATTGCATTTTTAACAGCGAAATACTGTAATTTATACATTGAATAAAAATGATCATGACAAGGAGCATACGGCGGGTGTGACCGGTCAGCAGGGAATGCTCACTCCTCCATGGCACCTGATCTCACCTCTGATGTTTCGGAGGTCCATGTTTGCTCTGCTCCTATTTTTTATTGTGTTATGGACTTTGATATTGAATGCTGTTCGTTATCTCCATATCCTTCTTCGTCACAGTGTGAAAGGATATCAAAATGATATCCTTTAACAGTGTGACAAAGATCAGAAGTGTGAGAAAATTCTTGATTTCAATATTTGTTAAGTAATATTTTGTTGAGTTAATAAAGCATTCTGACAGAGATAAAGACTGCGAAAATTTCGCAAATATGTTGCTGAAATTCATGTTTACAATGTTTTTCACTTAGCTTATGACGTAAGCCTAAGACTGCAAGACTACAATTACATGTAAGACATAGGCAAAGGAAAAATCAAAGAAAATGTAATAAACAGAAAATTCAATGTTTTGTAGTTAAATTTGAACTTTATTTCATTCGTGGGACAGGATTTTTTGATATTTTCACTCCTGCTTCGCACTCTTGAAAATATCAAAAAAAAAATTATGTCCCACTCGTGTAATGAATTCCATATTCATTTTCAAAACATTGAAAATCCTCTATGTATTTATTCAGACATTTAATAATTTTTAAAATTTTCCCAGGAATAGGTCATGGAATGGTCGTATTGACGGGGATTGTTAGTACTTACTACAACGTCATCTTGGCCTGGGCCCTGTATTATTTTGGAATGTCTTTCTTCCCCAAACTTCCATGGACAAGTTGTGATAATGACTGGAATACTGAGTTCTGTGAGCTACGTGGGATGAATTCGAGTTTGCCAAATTACACACTTTTTACTAAAGATGACAATGTTAACATCACACTTCCTTCATCTGCAGAGGAATTCTGGACGTAAGTATTATGATAAATAAGTAAGTAGTGTTCAAGTTTTGATTAAGATCACATTATTTTATTTGAGAACAAAAGATAAGTCAAGACTATACTTATCAAAGAGCCATTTTATATTACTTTTGACTGATATATTTCTTTGAAACGTGTAGTTTCAATATTTGTTGATGTATTTCAAACAAACTATAAATTCTGAATAAGAGTTTCTTGATTGCGGAAGTAAATATCGACAATTAACACATATTTAGTGTATATAATAGTATTATAGGAAATTTTAACTCAAAATGCTCATTAATTAATAGCTTGCCCTTTTTGAGTTGAATAGTCGACTCTTCAGAAGTTTTTATCTTAAAGTGACAATAACGGAAACAAGCTTGTCAGTTTTAATGGTACCTTAATTGTGCCTTTAATATTAATATTGCTTTTCTGGGAAAAAGACATACAATTATCAAAAGCGATATATTCAGCAAATTTTAAAAGGATATATAAACCAATTCATTACCAATTTAAATGAAGGAAAAAACAACAGGTGTTACGTCAAAATGGCGCTTAAAATTGGGTCCATTGTTAAAGTTTCCACTTGATACAGGAACGTTATCACGTGCAATACTTTGAATATTTCAATTTTTCAAAAGATGGTTGAACTGAATTGAAATTGAACGGAATTCATTTGCTCTCATTGTTGACACTTAAAATTCTTATCCATAGTTTAAGGTTCATGCAATTTAAGCATTTGATAAAAATTGAAAAACAAATTGTGTTAGAATATATGGCGTTTCAATTACATAATGGTTCTTAGGCAAACGTTCCGTGCATCTCTCTCTCTCTCTTTCTCTCTAAATAAAGTGTTTGTTTTCTTAGGGAAAAAGATTTTAACTTTAACTTTGACATTTTAGAAATCACACAATTTGTGATTATGGAGAATTTCATTTATTTAAAGATGTTTAAGTATTTTTTGACAATTTCTTTGATATATCTTATTCGTCATAAGACAGAAAAAGATTTAACACTGCTAAATCTTGCCTGGTTCTTTTCTTAAATTGATGCATGTGTGTGGTTTTCCTTGTCGGTATTTATCTCCGATATTTGAATATTAATATAAAACCCGTGTTCAGAATCAAATTATACGCTTTTGGATTAAATTATCACTATAGAAATCTCTGTAAAGAAACTCCTTATCTTAAGAATATTTTCAGGGGAAATGTCCTTGATATCTCTGATGGCATTGGGAACCCAGGGACTGTCCGCTGGCAACTTCTGTTATGTCTGCTGGCCGCTTGGTTAGCTGTTTTCTTGTGTTTATTCAAAGGAATAAAGACTTCAGGAAAGGTATTACAAGAGTGTATTTTGGTTTGTGTTATAAAACTATACTAGTATATCATATTTTTAATTGCAAACGGGATTTAGATTGAGGAAAAGTTATGCTTTAGAAGGAATCATTTGCCTAAACCATTTCTGAGACAGTTTTAATGTCTATTTGTGCATGTTAAAAAATTATAATCAGTTATTTTTTCTTCTTTTATTGATTAATGCAATGTCGTCAAGTTACTGTATCGTGGTAAACTTTTTTTTTATTTTGAAAAATGTTAATATGTTATTAAACAACACAATGTTGAAGGAAATTCTGCAAAAATGTGCGTTGTTCTATCGTTACTCGTATTAAGAATCTCGCAAAAATCAGACCATGTGAAAACTTAATGAAAGGAGAAATATGATCCTAAATAAACATTTTATATTTTTACAGGTTGTATACGTGGCTGCCACGGTACCGTACCTATTCCTGTTGATTCTGTTTATAAGAGGGTTGACATTTAATATTGATGGAGCAGCAAAAGGTCTAGAAGTGTTTCTGATTCCACGCTGGGAAGATCTACTTAGATTCAATGTAAATTACGGATGATTTTGTTCAAATGTAGTGTATATTTAAGTATATTACATATGTACTTGTAACTTGAATTGTAACTTTCGTGCAAAATACACTCTAAAAAATTAACATCTATCATTTATTTAAGAACTAAATGATCATTTTTTGGAAATAAGTATACTGCTGCTAAGCAAAATCATACCGAAAAAAATGATGAATTCATCGGATTTTATCAATTTTATGATAGCAATCTACTTTTTAGTATATAGTTGCTCCACTTGTTCACAAACCTTTTTTCTATTACTTCTACGAAGGATAGGTTATTCAAGAACATCTCCGTAAAACGAATTTTTTGCTGTTACCTTCAACATGACAATAAGATATATCGACGGCGCAATATCAATTAACAAGTTATAGTTACTTTTATTCATACTAATATGTCGATTCGATATGTGTCCAAGTAAACAAGACACAAGATGTCTTTGGGTATTTTAAATAAAAAGACCTTAATGATGATATGAAAACAAAACTTCACGATAAAAAGGACGACTTCATTTTTTTCTATTGGCAACCTTTCTTGCTCCGTAGCATAAAATCATATCATTAGCATATGAACTTATGAGGCAAGGGAATGTAGAATAAGAATATCAAAGACTCATTTGAAGTCATCGTTCCAAAACTTCTCAAGTCAATACACTTGTTTAATCTATCTTTTGGTCAAATGCTAACAGACATTTTTCATACTAATTGTTCGTGTTGTTTGGCAATTATTAACATGTACACACTGACATTGTTTTAAAAATTTTCTGTGTACTCGGTCATGGCATGAGCATACGGCGGATATGATCGTTTGTTTGAAGATGCTTACTCCTCCATGGCACCTGATCCCGCCTCTGATATTTTTGAAGGCCCATATCTGCCCTGCTCCCGATTTGTATTGTTTAAAAGAGCTGTGAGCATGAACACTGTTTATTATCTCCAAATTTATGTTTTGGTAAATTTCCTCGATAAGATGTGGTGTGATTTGTATTGCTTAAAGGAACTGATTAATTTATGTTTTGGTTACTTACTTCGTTTAGGTGTGGTGTGATGCTGCAGTGCAGATGTTTTACTCCGCTGGACTGGGATGGGGAGGCATTGCTACCCTGGCAAGCTATAATTCTTTTAATAACAACGTCTTCAGGTGAATTCAAACATATCATGCTACTTTCATTTAAGCTTATGAATAGAGCTAAAAGAAAAAAATTACACTCGTACTTTTTATATCTACACATTAAAATCACAATCATATGATATAAAATTAAAGTGCTGTATAAAAACTTTGCAACTATATGAGGAACAACCTTCTTCAGGAACAAATTGTGTGAAGTTTAATGCACAAATCAAACAAGCAAGCAAAGTACGAATTATATATGCAAGACACTATTTTGGCGACCAAAACAAAATTTTGATTTTTAAATAAGATGCCAAATTAAAAACAATTGTCACATGTGAATTTATCTTAAATTTTTCAAGATGTTTTATTTCCATTTTTCCAGAATAATGGTTTTATCATGAGAAATTAAAACCTTTGAAAATGTACTAGTTATTAAAGACAATCGGAAATAATTTCAAAATGAGTATATGCATATTTTTTCTTGTCTTACAGAGACGCCATGATTCTCCCTGTTGTTGACGTAGTGACAAGCGTCTTTGCCGGATGTGTGGTTTTCGTCACGCTGGGTTTCATGGCGGAGGAAGCCGGTGTTTCTATCGATAAAGTTGTTAAAAGCGGTAACATTGTAATGTCTTGCTAATTTGTTCTTTTCTTTTCTGATTCTTTTACTTTTATTTCAAAATTAAAATATTTTAATCTCAAATAAAAGATAACTATGTAATTCATTTTTGTTGGATTGATTGATTAATTGTATGTTGTTTGAAGTCCCCACCCGACACATATAGGAACTTTAAGCACTCATACAAAGAGCAGTGACTTTAACTTCTTTACTTCTGGTTCCAGTTGGTAAGCAAAAGAAGCGTCCTTGCTAAACTTGTTAACGTCTCCAATTTAACGGGGCGATAAGAATTGAACGCGGGCCCAATCAGATCACAGAAACACTTACTCCTAGGCTTCCATGGCCCGTTCAGTTTGCTTTCTTTGCAATAAATTTGGGGTTAAAATTTCAGGGTTAGACGTTCCATATCTGAAAATTTTACTAGAAAAAGACGTTGGCACTTCATTGCACTTGATCTGATGTTTTGGAAGTCTGTGTGCTCGGCTCCTATTTTTAATGGACTTTGTTATGGATTTTTGAGCTTGATTTCTGCATGTTCGTTATCTCCATTTATTTCATTTTTAAGTTTTATGTTCGATACAATGACATTGTCAGCGAATACAATCTATCATTAAGTCAAAAGCTGATTAACGCTTATCAGAACTTATTGTTAGGTCATTATTTACACACTGAAATGTCAACGGATTTTTTGTTTATTTTCCGATCACGATAAGGAGCACACGGCGGGTGTGACCGGTCGGCAGGGGATGCTTACTCATCCATGACACCTGATGTTTTAGTGGTCCGTGTCTGTTCTGCTCCTGATTTGTATTAGATAATGAACTTTTGAGTAGCATACTGTTTGTTATTTCCATTTTTTTAGTCTATTTGAAAATTTCAGAAATAAAACTACTTGTACCATGTCATTCAATTAATTTTTTTAATTGTTTTTTTAAGGACCCGGAATAGCCTTCATTGTGTACCCTGAGGCTGTCTCCAAGCTCCCTCTTCCTCAGTTGTGGGCAGTTCTTTTCTTTATCATGCTTTTCACAGTCGGACTTGATAGTCAGGTAAGAAAATCTACTGATACACTTCTTAAAATTATAATAAATGTAAATATACTTTTATGTAAGTTGTTTTGTACTTTTTTCAAGCAACAATTGTTTTGTAGCTATATTTTGCAATACATTGTTTCTGAAACGCAAATAAGATAACCGACGAAACATTATCAGCAACTTTATTACAAGCAAACAAAAAAATTACATTTCTTACAAACCAAACAAACAATCAACGCCATTTTCCATGGTATCAGTCGTTTGGCAAAACTTCCACTGAGGAAAGCAGACTAGAATATTTTGTTAAATGTTACTAGGTACAATTTTATTGTCATCTTAATCATGTTCCCCAAACGAAGTTGGGGAACATATTGTTTTTACTCTGTTTCTTATTATTATTATTATTATTATTATTATTTTTCTTCTTCCTGGGAAAATCTTTTCCGCGAATGATCTCGTAAACTACACATTTGATCAAGGTGAAACCTTTTTAGGGTCACTAGGCATGTTATGTAGATTTGCGGAATGAAGGTCATTTTGCACGCACGTGCTTGCAAGAGCGCGCACGTGCAACACGTGAAATGACTAATATAATGGATACAGCCGTAACTTTTCTATTTTTTGATGAAATGTTTTGAAACCCATAATATAAGGATATATAAGTAGTACAGACAAGATGACATGGTCAAAAACGCAAGATCTCATGCGCATGCACGTGCGCTTCGCTCTGATTGGATGAAACTTAAGTCTCCATATCTTTCTTGTTTTTCGACAGAATACTCTGAAATTTTGAACTTAGTCATACATTAGGGAGATCTACAGCCTGATATATAAGAATTATCATGAAAGCATGTGCATGCACGTGTGCTTCCTAGAGCGTGCACGTGCAACACGAGAAATGTCCAATATAATTGATATAGACGTAACTTTATAATTTTTTTATGAAATGCTTTGAAACTCATAATATAAGGATATATTAGAAGCATAGACAAGAGGACATGGTCAAAATAGCAAGATTTCACGCGCATGCACATGCGCTTCTCTCTGATTGGTTGAAACTAAAGTCTTAACATCTTTCTAGTTTTTCGACAGAATCCTTTGAAATTTTCAACATGCTTATACATTATGAAGATCTACAGCATGATATATAAGAATTAGCATGAAAGCATGCGCATGCATGTGTGTTGCAATCTGATTGGCTGAAACTTTGAATGCCTATAGCTTTCTTAGTTTTCAACAAAACGGGATGAAATTTAGAGTATGATTAGGTATAATTGATTCCTACATTATGGTACTATCAAAATTGAATGCACGAACATGCATGCATGCACGTGCGCGCGCAAAATACGCAAAATGACCAATATACTTAAGAAACAGTAGCATGTATATCTTAAACATTTTTTTATAGATTCTTACAAAATATAGATATGTTAATGGTTTAGACAACATGCCATGATCATCTTGCATGTGCATGCACGTGCTTGCGCGTACAATGCATTAAATGACATATAGTTGAGATCATTGTAGCTTTTATAATTCTTTGATGAAATCCGTCGATACTGATCATATTTTAAAAATGTCTTACAGGAATTAGGCACAAAAGGGAGTTGGGGAGCGTTTGGGGAACATCTGTAACGGTTCCCGTTACAATTAGCACTAGTTTCATTTTAGATGGTGCACATTCAAACTTTGACAGGTGCTTTACATGACAATTTCCCTAAAGCTTTAAACAAATGGAAGACTTCATTAACAGGCATACTCTGTTTTATTGGGTTCTTGCTTGGGATCCCATGTATAACGCAGGTATATATACATAAATGACCATAAGGATATACATTAGCTTTTCGGAATGGTCATTGGATGTCATATTTTATGCTATATCTGTTACTTTTTTATAATATAAAACCGAATTAGTAATTAATGTACAAAGGATCAATTCGAAAGAAATGAATTTTTTTTTACAAGATCCTCATTATTTTATTCTGCAGTTATGCCCCTTGGTGTTGAACTACGGTCACCTAAATTAAAGCAAATATTATACTCTAGTCTATACTATACTCTATTAACCTAAAATGTATCTGACCTTGCCTTTTTTTTAATAACAAATTGTTACTGTTTACATTGATTCCTTTAGGGTGGTATCTATGTCCTAACCCTCATTGACTGGTACTGTGCCAGTGTGTCTGTAATGTTGTTGACACTTCTAGAAGTGACGTCATTGGCCTGGCTCTATGGTAAGGGATTTCCTGTTATTTTTACTTCTGTTGCTATTTATATTAATTAAAACAATAAATTAACGAATACTAGTATATTTTTTAGGTTATTGAAGTAAATGTGCAATATTTTCTTGTATGAGACAAATGCAAGAACACTCTTAGCACGTTTCGTTTTCTGTTATTCTTTGTTATTCAGATCTAGGATGAAAGTGAGTTTTCCTTTTTGAACATTTTCTGTGAGCTTTTCATTTGTCTGCATGGCTATTACAATTTCTTCGAAGCACTGGAAAAATACCGAAACATTTTTTTTTCAAATCGCATGCTGTTTTTGTCAGTCGTGCTAATAGAATGATTTGCATCAAAGAATAATTTATAAAAGTTTAAAATGTTGTACCTTGTATGTTGTTTTTTTAAAGAGATAATTTTGCTTTTATATCATTCTAAGGTTTATTTGATGTCTTTATTGATAAAAAGATTTTTTTGTTTTTAAGGTGTGGAAAGAATTTACAAAGATTTGGAAATGATGATCGGGTATAAACCAACGCCTTTATGGAAGATTATGTGGCTATTTGTAACTCCATTGGTGATATTGGTTAGTTTTTCTTCGTAACGAGACAGTCTTTACGATTCAACATTAAAAGCAGTCGGATATGAATATATATTGTTTCTGTAATTCTACTTTTAAATACCATACGACATACATATACCAAGCAATAATGTACGATTCTTAATGATTTTGTCCATTTCTTACAATTCTTTGTTGAATTGCTTTGTTTAGATTATCTGGATTGTCAGCTTAATTCGTTATTCGCCAGTAGAGTACGGTGATTATAAGTACCCATCATACGCCGTGGGAATAGGGTGGGTGATAGCTATCTTATCGTTAGTGTCAATACCGGTAGGAATGGTAACAACACTCTTAAACACGGGGGACAACTCTACACCTCTTCTGCAAGTAAGTCAAGTTCTAAATCAATAGCAACCGTTTTACCACTGTCATGGAATAAAATAATCTTTCTGTATGCATTTCATAGCTGCTTTTAAGCAAAATATTTTTAGATGAAAAATATTGAAAAAATTTCTCTTAGACTTTTGCAATTGTATTTCAAATTAAAGGTGAGATCATAAAAATATCTCAACCTTGTATATTGACAGAGATTAAGACTTTCATTACAACCTACAAAGGACTGGAAACCGGCGATACAGACTCTTCCTGGTGATGTCGAGATGAGAAAAATGCTTGTTTAAAATTATATTTTAATACAAATACATGTACAGCTGTATTTGTTTTAGCATTTTGCAATTAATGAGCATGTGTCTGTGTTATGAGACTTTTAAAAGTATAAAATATTAATTTAATGTTTTTTAGTTAAGGTACATGTATGTTAAATACTCAGTACATTATTCTGTAATAAAAATAAAGCATACCTTTCTTGTGAATTAAAAAAGCAAAAAACATATAAAAAAAATACTTTATTCAATAAATAACCATCGTGAAAAACTGATATTGTGGTAACAATTCATTAACTAAAGTGTATTACCAACAACACGTACGCGGAGTACACGTTTGTATCTCTACCAGTGCGTGCAGTGCGCGTGCACAAATACTGCAGTGTACAAATTTAATTAATACATGTAAAGCACCATACAGTAGCTAAGATTTCTTTAACAAACATTCAACAAATTGGTCCACTGCATCCATTTAACAATCTTATGCATATTTTTTTTCAATAAAATTTAAATTTACTTATAATCACACGTATATATTCCCTAAATTAAAAATAATAAAACAAATCTCATGGTTTCGATTTCTTAAAAATATCTTGTACCTAGCTTACATACATGTATCACATTTTCAAACACAGCCAAACAATATCAAAATCTGACTAGCATTTACGATGAAGTTGAATAATTCTAATAAAACAAAACAGTAGGTTATGTCCTTGCACTAAATCCTTTTGAAAAATGATATTCCACAGACATTTTATGATACAAATTTTTTACTTGGTATTCCTGGTACTCCAGTGCAATTTTTTTCAAAAACTCTATCATCTTTGATCATATCTTTGAATGAAAAAACTATTACGATTTTGTTTATACTTGAAATACCAAATAAAATAAACTTTGCAATAAATAATATCACAGTATAACAGTATTTGCAATATATAAAAATACTGATGTAAACATATTTTCAAATCGTGATATTGAAATTGTCCTTTTATTGAATTCTTTGCATAGAAATTTTTTCAATTATATTGAAAGATTAAAAATACACAGATACTTTGACTGTCGTTAAGACTGTTCTGTTTGGACAATGACTCTATTAGACACTTGACATTCGCCCCTTTGATTACACCCTAAAATCAGAAATTCATACTCCGTGCTGGCCTGTAAACCGAATACCCTGTGGTCTTGCCTTCCATACAAGGAGAGTGTTCGCCAAGCTCGGCTCTGACCCCGAGGGCGATACAACAGGAAGTGAGAGATGTGCTGCTCAGCGGCGATGTCCTGGGGGCTAGAACTGTAAATCTGTACAGACGTGGCGAACTGCCGACAAAGGCTTTCAACAATCACAGGAGCTAAATTAAGAAAGATCATCAAGTTAGTATCATTCATTTAATTCAATATTGAATCGTTATTTTCACCGAGTCGCAAAATGATTTTTATAAAAGTTTCCCGCTTTTATCCTATCAAAACGTTAAATAATTTAAATTAATTTAAATGAAGATTTATAAACAAACCTGGAATGACACTTTCTCCTGGCAGTAATGTGGTACACTGAACAACCTCCGAGTTAGCACTTCTTCCTGCCTGGTTGCTAGCACTTACACAAAAATAGTAGGTTGTTGCTTTGCAAAGATTTTCAACTAATACCACAACCACTCCTGAACAGTTTGGAACATTTTTCGCAGCAAGTCTGTCCTCTGGGACATTTTTGACAATCAATGTATCCTGAAAATGTAACATGCTAATTTTCAGCTTGAATTTAATATGCTTTTTTTTTCATCTAAATTGGAAGAATCCTTCTAAAATTGTTATAGTTTGTCAGCGGAAAATTTCTTTCAAGACGGAATTTTATTATAATTCTTTATTGCTATAAAATCTTGAATCTGTTTCAGGAATTATATGATTTACACTATATATGCGAACCTTGTCATGATATTTGTATAAAATATTTGGAAAATACAACTCCAGACAAAGACCATTTTTGAATTAGATACAACTTTTTTGTTTATAATAATTGTATTTTTTTACTACCTGGTAAAGATTAAAACACTGAGCTATATCATCAATTCAGATCATATTTTGTCATGTTAATTAGATCCGTGACTGCATACCTCGATTTCAAGACTCTTTTGTTCCTCCGAGCAATAATGAATTTGGTATTCGTCTATGACGTCATGTGAGTGTCTGGGAGGGGAGAGCACTAGTACGACTGTGTCCTCGCTTCTGGAGCACCGCGTGACGTCAACGCTTGGTGTAACAGGAGCTAAAAAAGAATGCTTCGTGTTGAAATCGGAGAAATGACTCGGTTAGATCAAGAGATCGAGGGTAGGATTTGCAAAGTGTTTTTGCAGATTAGCATGAACACATGTGTTATATTAAGAATAAGGATGATCAAAAATAATACCAAGTAAGTAATTCATGTCTCTTATGATATTTCTTTCCTTTCTGAAATCTACAAGTTTTCCCGGCAAGACGTCACAGTCTGAAGGTTGAAATTGTGCGGTTTCACAGTCAATTGTGGCCTTCACCAGTCTGCAATTTTAAACGATCAAATAAAGAAAAAAAATTTTGTGTCACAAATGCCCATTAATTTTTTTCAAAAAAGTCATATTGCATAGTTTAAAAATCAGTTGAAATCTATCAGAGAGGTTCTGGCCTTTGATCACGAACGTTTAACTAGATCTAGAATCTTTAATACTTACTTTTCACTTAATGTATTTGCCACCTGGAATAAAAAAATAATTTAATGCGAGTTAAATTTCATTGTCTACATGCTTTACATATTTATGTTTGACATGTATAACTAGGTAAACAGATGTGTAACCTGATTCTGTTTGTCCCTCAAACACTTGTAATCCTGAGAATGTTGACATTACAGATTTTATTACCACACTCAAATGATCTTGTTTCTTTTTAATTTCTCTTGAGAACAGAATGGTGACCCAAAGGATCGAGGACGATGTGCATATTTTGATTGAGTTTTAGAAAAGGAAAAATGCAAGCTGTACTTTGCTGTGTGAAAAATTACCACGGTAATTAAAAGAAGACCGAGAAATAATGAGTGACACAAAATTCATTACAAACAATAGGTAAACTGCATTATATCATAGAATTTGCATAGAATATTAGATTTTCTAAGTTAATATGAAGTTACTATTCATTTTGACACCGGAATATAGTTAATTTGAACACCAGATTACAGTTAATAAAAACTAGAGGTATAATGAGCACTGGGCTCACAAAATGATAACCCCGTCTCCCATATGAAGATAATAGCAATGTGTATGTTTTGTTATGAAAGACCCGAAATAAGTGTCGGATCAAAAAGTAAAATAGGAGTTGCACAATAGCATTATGTAATAAATATTCGTTGCAATTCTCATAAATTTCATTCAGTTATATAAGAGGAGTTGTAGATAAGAAATTGGTTTCCAAGTCTTTTCGAGGGTCATGAAATAATGAATTTTTTCAGACCACCTGATGTATTACATTTATATACGTACCTCTAGAAACTCACTGACATCCTCGTTTAGCACCTCCGATGTGTAACTATACAACGCCTGTGAAGATCCTAAGATCCGCTCCATTACTTTTATCAGTTCTTCTTGCTCATTTTGACGAATGCGTTCCTCGTACTCTAGATCCGCCAGGAAGAAATTTCTCTTATTTTCAATTTCAGCTAAGAGCATGTCACACTGTGCGTTGATTTCGCCCCGCTTTCTGTCTATCTTTTGCTGAAATAATTTGACAACAACATGCAGTTTTGAAAATAAACTCTAGTTATTATTTTAAAAGAGTCCAAAGAATTTTGTTAATCTTGAAATTATGCTCTTTTGGAATACTCTTACCTGCATTTCTTTTAAATTATCTCTCTGATTCTGTAGAGCCGTTGTCACTTTATCCTGACTGCTGCCTAATTTTTGAAGATTTTTATCAATTGAAGCCTAAAATGAAAAAAAGTTATCCTCTGACACAATTCTTTTCATTGTCATAATAAAGTTAATAATGTTGTATATACTTTAAAAGGGTAGCAACAAACCTTTATGTCTGTATATGCGTCTTCTATAGTGATCATGAAGTGACCTTTGTGAAGATTGGAATCTTTGCAGGCCATGCAGGTTGGAACGCAACATTCTTTGCAATACAAGGAAAGTTGGTCTGCGTGAGTTGTGCACATACCATTCACAGACCGATTAAGATCATCTCGAGGGGATACCAACTCGTGGGTATTGAAAGGATCCTTCTTCTGGTGAGTCAGGAGAAGGCAATTGGAACAGTAAGACACGTTACAATCTAGGCAAGACTTTTTAGCTTTTTTCTTTGCTATATTACAAAGTTGGCATAGCACTGACAGTTCGGTCCCTGTGTCAGATTGACTAGAAACGGAAACATCTAGAAGTGAGGCATCGTGGGTTTTTTCTTGTTGATTGATGTTTTCTTTCGAGCTTCTGTCCGCTTTGTAGCGTTCTATGATATTTTCTAGAGCAATTACTCTAGGCAAACTAGAGATCCCGCCACTCACGTAACAATTATCTCGACAAACGGGACATCGTATAAAGTTGAAATCAAACAAATGTTCTGCGCAAGGAGATCTGCAGAGCACGTGGGAGCATGGAAGAATTATGGGATAGGAAAATAGTTCCAAGCAGATTGGACACTGTAGATCGCTGTCCACCTCCATCTTGGGTTTCACTGGACACTTTGATGGGGCCACACGGACGTGCTCAAAAGCGTGGTTCCCGTTGGTTGCAACGACGTTAACTGGACTAAATACAAATCCTTCCCCAAAGTCCTGAAAGTAAGATATAGATGCTGTTACGATTCATTGAGAAATTTCCCTTCTAAGTTACCTTCAACCTTATGAGTATGGAAGAAAATCCTTCAAATCAGAAACCTAGATAAATATATTATTTGGTTTCGGGAAAGGCTTAAAACAAATTCCATATCCGATATTAAATGGAAGTTATTATGAATGTGTTTCGTCAACAAATCCGCCATACAGATGCCTAATGAAGCCTCCATTTATTAGATGAATTACTCATCCCACATGACAAGGTACACAATGCATCTAGAGTAATGTTTTCC